TGTCTACAGATCCCGAGAAAATCGCTGAAGTGAAAGATTGGCCAAGACCTGTGAATCTGACAGAAGTCCAGTCATTTTTCGGTCTATGCAGTTACCAGCTACAAACATTGTACTAGCTTTTGTGCAGTATCTGAAACATTTGCGGCATTTTCTCTAAGGCCGACTTTTACAGTCTGGACAGACCGCAACTCCAGGAGTGTTTGTCAAACTCTAAAGATCCAGAGGGATAACTCGCCAGATGCATGGAAGTCATCAGTCAGTAAGACATGAAGGTGGGACATCATCCAGGTACTAGCACTTAAATGTCAACGAATGGAGTAGATACCCATGCAGAAATTAGACGAATGACCGAGACGCCAATGATGTTGCCTTGAATTTTTCTGTAGATGAAAGCCATGCTTATGCCGAGGAAAGAGACAAAGCAGACTAGCACCACATGGGCCTGGGAACTTAAAAAACGCTTGGAGGATTCACATATGCATGCTAGGAAACACATTGATGGGGCAGTGCAGCGACATAACAATATCATGATCACTATGTTTCAATGGAAAAATTCTAAAGCTGCTGACGAGGTGTTTGTGTAATTCCCTTTAGGAAGAAGGTGGGAACCAGCAAGACGTTCACCTCATTTTGGAGAGTGCCATACAAAGTGCTACGAAAGCTCTTGGAAGTATGTTTGAAGTTGATTGTAGAATCCGAGGTTATTCATTGTGATCGCATGCGCCCCGTGAAAGACAGATACTGTGGGGTGAAGAGCCCAACAATGGTCAGCACAAGGAAGGGAACCAAAATACTGACGAAGTAAATGCAGTAGAGATGTCAGAAAACGAAGCAATCGTTGCTGAGGAAGAGCCAGACGTAGGGTCAATTGACATGGTCAAAAACGATCAAGTTAGGTCAGCTATGGTAAGGCAGCGTCCGGGAAAATAGAAGGAACACTATGTCGGGTTCAATGTCTGACACCGATTTCACTTTACCCTGTTATAACATATTTTAGGTACCTTCTCTTTTGGCATCTTCAAAGGATGGTTAACACAAAGACACCCAAAACTCAAGTACCATTCAGAGTTTATTAAATAATTCTTATGAATAACGTTGGACCGAAGGCATGGGTAATGTACTGAAATAAAGTATTGTTTTCATATCAATGCAAGCAGCCTTACCTGCAATAAGCTGGGCAGCTCGTACTTACCGCTACACTTATATATACAGATTTATTCCCGGGTTGTCAATAGCTTTCGAACTGGAATGAAAGCGTCTATTCTACGCTACTGTTTCAAACGCTGTGAAGCATTAATCATTATAAAATCAGAACGAGGTTTCACTTTCTGTTTCAAGCAAGGTATAAAAGGAGGAGAGACATCGTTGTGAGAGTCAGCGGTCGTGTTAGGTCCTCTGAAGTAAACATACAGGAGCAGTTAAAATTGATATGGATAGGTAGGACGGGTTTGTGTTGTCTTGGCTCGTGCGTTACTCTTTTCGACCTGTGCAGGGTTTGTCGAGTGGCGCATGAGTGTATAAAAGTCAACGGTAACTGTAAACGTATGGAGTTGTAGATGGGCTTGGTTGATTTAGGCGACGTACATACCTAACAGCGCATACAGGACTGAGTGAAGTAATCTGTTAGGATTGTAATATCTGCTCGTGCTACGTACGGTATTAGGTTGTGTAACTTAGTGTTGTAGTGCGGGACATAGAGCATGAGCCACAATTATAATATATATTGATGTTAGGGTTCATGCGTCACGTGGACGCATGCGTTCTTATAGTTAGTGCCAATCAGAATCATTTGTACATATTAGTTATTCAATTTCATAGATTGAGATATTAAAGTTTACTGTCAGGGCAAACATTTATTCCTACCATTTCATATAAGCAACACATTATCCCTGTTATATTCTCCCGCATTTTGTTTGTCCGAATATAAAATAATAATTATCTAACGAAAAAATAACTCAAACACAGAAATGGAATTAGTACTCGCTGTAATCTCGAACGTTTGCCAAAATTGTCACAAAAACAGTCTCCATATCACTTCATACCAAAATATCAAGAAAATAGAAATATATACTGTATGTGAATACTATAACCGCATGAAACTACACTCCAGGTACAAAGCTACATGGAAACAAATATTGTCGAAACAAACCTTAAATATCAAATATAAGTCACGCGGCCGCTTCCTGAAAAAAATGAAATATTTATCAGTTGTATCTTTACGGAACTTGCCACCAAGACTTAGCTAACCGATAATATACACATGTGCTGACTACAGCGAGACCTCGAAGGACACCACACCCGTGTACCACCAATGATAACGTCACGTAACCGCCCAGCACGTGCTTCCTTGTCTTTACCTGGAAACGCCTATACATGTACGGACCATAATACACACGAAAATAATTTTATATATCACGGGATACAACACCCAGGAAAACGTTACACTTTGGTAGTGGTTACTAAATTCATCATCGAATTCGTGCTAAACACACTCATTATCATTATAATTTACATCATGATGCACTGATGTATCAGCCGTATTGTCCCCACTGGTAATTGTGTTTGGCTTTATGACATGTATAAATGTTTTACTTAGTTCAATTTACTCTTCCATCTTGCATCTATTAAATAGATAAAGTGCAGTTCATGTCAAGCCAAGGTTTGTCTGGCTACTTAGATATACGATCAAACGCGTGACATTTACCGCTAAAATAGTTCTGTTCTGTCAACAGAAACGGCCAAACAAAAGTGACAATTTTGGTAAAAAACATGACAACGGTCGATATTCTCACTAGTATTGGCGAGTTCACATGAGAAGTTTCTAAGTAAATTCTATTATAATATTTGTCGTTGTTATATTTCTTTCTCAACAGTAGACCAAGAAACAGAATTAATTACAGAGCACCTGCTTCCGTTGTTACAAAAAATACAGGCATTAATCTTCACGTTCAGGGTAAGTAATGAGGGTGATTGGTCAAAGAAAAGTATCGAGTATCATAAGGATAACATACACGAATTGGCCTCAGAAAATTGATCATTATCTTTTGTGTCTATAGATCTAGGTACTGACCGAAGCTTATAACTACTATTACGTTTATTTATTCTAAATTAATCTATTTTTTATTTATCTAGTTGTAAATATTTACATGTAATATTTCATAAAGATAAAATTACTCTTGTAAATCAAATTTACGGCAGCAGCATTATCAATACTTAAATTCTAGATGAGTGTCGATAATTTGATAATATGTAATATTAAAAACCTTTAAAAACCCTCCTAATGACACATCTTTCCTGTAGTTATTTCAGACAAAAACTGATATAAATACAAATACAATGTACAGTTAGCCGTTTGACGATTTTGAAAAGGAAAGTTGAAACATGATGTTTAATCCACGAAACAGCAATGACCTTAAGATGTCTGGTTCTGTGATATACTGCAGCCATTACATTAGCTTACTCATACAATATCGCCACAGAGATTGAGCAGTGTGAATCTCAAAGGAACTCACACCAAACAGCAATCTTGCATGGTCATAAGAGAAAACCGTTCTTCTCTTTGTAAGGGTTTGGAATAGCCTCCGTGCAAATATGACGAGCACTAGAACAACCAAGAACTCGTACATAACTTAAATGCAATCGTTCATCGGATATTATTTTTACATTCTGTGTATTACATTTATATACAGTGTGTATACCAAAGATGGCCGTAAAAGTTAGCAAAACACAATAGTTGCCGTTGTTTGCTCCGTTTATCGGGGATGAAACAAAAAGTGCAATGTTCCTGACTCTTCATCATTCAATTATATGCAGTTATGCATAAAACATTTTAGTCCGATGAAGAGACCATGGACAATAACTGCAAGTGATGCTTTAGCATGCATAGAGACACCAAATATCCTGTGTGATGGGTGGTGCTTCAGCATGCATAGAGACACCAAATGTCCTGTGTAATGGGTGGTGCTTCAGCATGCATAGAGACACCAAATATCCTGTGATGGGCGGTGTTTCAGCATGCATAGAGACAACAAGTGTCCTTGGTGATGGGCGGTGCTTCAGCATGCATAGAGACACCAAATATCTTGTGTGATGGTTGGTGCGTCAGCATGCATAGAGACACCAAATGTCCTGTGTGATGGGTGGTGCGTCAGCATGCATAGATACCCAAATATCCTGTGTGATGAGTGGTGCTTCAGCATGCATAGAGACACCAAATGTCCTGTGTAATGGGTGGTGCTTCAGCATGCATAGAGACACCAAATGTCCTCTTTTATGTAGCCACAACTTTTAAATTATCATTGTGTTACCGCAGAGATGAGACATAAACTACCTGCATAATTCTTTAATTATGTAATCATATATCTACATATGTATACTATGAAACATCGGAACTGGAAATACTCATTTTCAATAAATAGCTGGAAATCCACTGAGGTCTAAATTGTCTTACGTAATGGTGTAACTGTGCAATAAGTAAGGTGAAAAGTGGTGTGTCTTGACAAGTGACGTTATCCAAACTGTCAGGTGTACTATCCCACAGGCCAAGGAATGTATTTAATTGGTTAGATAAGGAAAAGAAGAGTAAAAAAATCATCACTTCTTTGTTGAGCGTGTTTCAAATAAGTTTCTAGAATCTCTTTACCACATTATACATATATATTGTCATTTAACTCTGGCATTCATTCTCGTTCTCGTTATAATCACTTATTCAGAGTTAGAGCAATGTCTATTCGTTACATTTGTATAACTGACGTTGTGGTCAAGCGAGCTGGGTTATATTCGTCTCGCTTGATCTGATCGATGTATAACTACCACTAATTACTGTCTGCTGACCCCGCACCCTACTCAATCCTACGTTTGTTAAAGTATATATAGCCTAACTCTAGTCCTGTTTCTGAAATAACAGTTCACTTTTAAAACCAGGAGGGATGATACACTGTACCAAAATAAGTGATATACTAGAGCGTCAGTTTTATTACCAGCGGGAGTTGAGCCACTTCTTAATCAGAAAAGTTCGTACGGGAGTGGAGCCACTCCTCAATTAGAACAGTGTGTGTACGGGAGTGGAGCCACTCCTCAATTAAAACAGTGTGTGTACGGAAGTGGAGCCATTCCTCAATTAGAACAGTGTGTGTACGGGAGTGGAGCCACTCCTCAATTAGAACAGTGTGTGTACGGGAGTTGAGCCACTCCTCAATTAGAACAGTGTGTGTATGGGAGTTGAGCCACTCCTCAATTAGAACAGTGTGTGTATGGGAGTTGAGCCACTCCTCAATTAGAACAGTTTGTGTACGGGAGTGGAGCCACTCCTCAATTAGAACAGTGTGTGTACGGGAGTTGAGCCACTCCTCAATTAGAACAGTGTGTGTATGGGAGTGGAGCCACTCCTCAATTAGAACAGTTTGTGTACGGGAGTGGAGCCACTCCTCAATTAAAACCGTGTGTGTACGGAAGTGGAGCCACTCCTCAATTAGAACAGTGTGTGTACGGGAGTGGAGCCACTCCTCAATTAGAACAGTGTGTGTACGGGAGTTGAGCCACTCCTCAATTAGAACAGTGTGTGTATGGGAGTTGAGCCACTCCTCAATTAGAACAGTTTGTGTACGGGAGTGGAGCCACTCCTCAATTACAACAGTGTGTGTACGGGAGTGGAGCCACTCCTCAATTAGAACAGTGTGTGTATGGGAGTTGAGCCACTCCTCGATCAGAACAGTGTGTGTATGGAAGTTGAGCCATTCCTCAATTAGAACAGTGTGTGTATGGGAGTTGAGCCACTCCTCGATCAGAACAGTGTGTGTATGGAAGTTGAGCCACTCCTCAATTAGAACAGTGTGTGTATGGGAGTTGAGCCACTCCTCGATCAGAACAGTGTGTGTATGGAAGTTGAGCCACTCCTCGATCAGAACAGTGTGTGTATGGGAGTTGAGCCACTCCTCGATCACAACAGTGCGTTTTGTAGTATCGATATTCCCACCGTTCAGGCAATAACATATAAAGTGTTGATGTATAACTGGCGTAAAGCATTGAATAACGATCAAATACATAACTACAAGTCTGCTGTAGAGTCTGAGCTCAGTGTCATTGCTTTTCTCCGAAAATAGCAAAAATCAAATGACGAACTTGACGCATTTTAAGAAAGTTTAAAAACTACTGTTAAATGCATCAAAACGTTGTGTTAAAAATGTACATTTAAGAGATATCTTAAACCATACGGGAATGACAGAATGTAGGGCAATATTGGTCAATTTAGAGGTAATGACGTGTATGTTTAAGACTATAAGATATGCTAATGTGTATTTACAAAAGCTTTGAGATTACAGAACGATGAAATGGACCAGCCAGGTGAAGTTGATCAGGCAGTGTTTTGGCAACCACACTGTAGACATAAGTAAAATCACATAACTCCAAGTTGTTACAGTTTCATATCAAGTATGTCGGTCGGGTTCTACCTGATCCAAAACATATAGGCATGGAGTATTCACTTCAGTAATTTATGTGAAAATGAAAGTAGTGAAATGTTTGATGGACAAACGTCTGATCATGTTAAAAATGAAAGTGTAAGCACTGAGTAAAAAAGATAAAACTGACAAAGATATTTCCTAGAAAATGAATAGACATCTGAATTAAGGCGTATCAACTGATAGTTGATGAGTTGATAAACGTCATTGTTTGAAATTGACAGCTATTGGAATACTCTATAGTATATTGTTTCAAACCACGTTGCATATGTATGATCCCTAAAATATATGTCAGCATCTAACACTAGGGTCGGAATACATTGTTGAAGACTTGAAATCGACTTACCTAAGATTGGCTTCAGCAATTGAATATATGTATCCCACTGGTCAAGTCTGTACACACATTATAAATGAGTCAGTCAGTGAAGTATAAATAGTTTATCAACATTGAATCAGAAACCTCGAGGGGTTTAAAATAAAATAACCATGATGATATTATTATGGGCCCTTGCGGCTGTCGTTAAACATATACAGGCATACAGGTAACAGTGAACATAAATTTCCTTATTTTGTTCATTCGTGTTCTCGTTGTAAAACAATCAACTCGTTTTAGATTGTTGAAAGCGTCATGAAATCTTGATGAATGAATCCATTACACATCAAATATACATTTTTGCTTGTTTGAGGTTTACGTCCAGTGTTCATGGATGAAAAGGTTACTAGCAGGTGCTTCTATTATGCCATCACACTGAAAAAATATCACATAACAAGGTAACATGACACCACGACTGATCACAATATATAACAGATTACATATTACAGAGGTACGTCTCCTCCAACAACATATAAATCGGTCGTATTCACTAGATCAGGTTCAATTGGGCAAGACACTTTTCTCGAAATGCTCTGCGATATGTGCGACGAGACCCCCGTATGCTGTTCAGTGAGGTAGACACCAGCTATTCCAAGGATAACCCACATCAAAATGACCCTGGATGTTCACGGAACGATAAAACTAGCAAAGAATGATTATGATAGCAATATGTAAGCCTACCAGCATAAAAGAGACTAGGATGAAATGTGAGTGTTGCAGTTGATGGGTATCATTCGTTTTTAAGGAAACCACTCTAACCTTACTATTGAAATCATCAAAAAATACAGTAGAGTTACGGAAATTTTCATATCTATTAAACGAAAACAAATTGCTAATCATGATGTTGTTAATTGTTCTCCTAACGGAATTATCCTTACATAGTCCAGGGCCCGTAGTCATGAAACCATTCTCATGCTCAAGCATAGATTCTGTACTCAAGCAAACTTTTTATAATTCGCCTAAATCGTATCCAATAATATAAATGTCAAATATAAACATTGAATATAGCATCTGGCTTGAAGTCCTTTCAAAGTATTTTCAAATCTTTGACAAAAATCAACTTTTCTTACTCACTTTTAACTAAAACAAGATACAAGACTAGAGCACAAAACTCATGCTTGAGCATGAGAACGGTTTCGCGAATACGGTTCCTGGAACAGAAAATATCGCATCAATCACACCAAAGATGTTGTTTTCATAGCCATTAAAAACTCGATGTTTACTATATCTTATTAGCAATGAGCTGTAAAGTAACTCGGTATTTGTAAAACATGGGTGTCTATTAAACATTTTTGTACAGTATCATGACTCTTGTAAGTTCAATCTAGCTTGATGTCACCTAAAATAAACTTGATGTGATACCTGTAATTGATGACATAATGAGGTCTTCAGTAATGAGGATTTTACGGACGGAGAGGGGAGCTCCAAATTTACTGGATTGGCAAGAACCGAAGATCAAATGCATTATTTATTCCAAAGCCAACGAAACAGCACGTACTTTATTTATCGTATGTTTTCTTTTCAATTAGAAGTACAGATGCACTTTAAAACAGTAAACCCTCCTACAGTGACACATGGCTTAGGGTTACTTCAGTGCTTTTGATAGTCTGTAACATCTACTGCTATAGTAGGATACGGGAGCGTATTAGGCTTAGGAATACATTTTGTCTGAATGTGAAATTATGTGATAACCGCTACATAACTATTCTGCGGCCGCCACTTAAATACACTACGGCCGTCTTCTAATTATCGGCCAGCCGCCTGTTGTATAGCGGCACCATTGCTACCTATATTTCGTCATTTCCAAACTTATGGAATAAATGTATTGCTTTATTCATTGTTGCCTAATTTGACAGCGCAATCTGCAGGTTATCGAAGTAGAAAGGGTATGCAATGAAAAACATATATATATTTAAGTGGTGACCCCAAGACAATGATGTGGCTGACGTAAAAAAAATTCAGAAAAAAAACATTATGTGAGCCTGATACGCTTACGTAGTAGGAACACATGAACATGGCTCATTTGTCAATACACTCGATCTGTCTAGCGAAACGACTTGATCCCCATGTGATTGTCATTAAACCGTTCGCGATATTTCGCTTCGAGTAGTCTGAATCGACAGATATTTTTTTTTTTAATTTGGTATATCACTTACTATATTTCATACACTAAAACTATCGTAAGACTTTAACAAAAATGGTTAAACTGTCAGATTTCAATTCGGTGTACACTTATCTGGCAGCGACATTAGACACTGAATCTCTATAATTAGTTTAAAAAAAACACCTCTACGTGGCATGCACGCTGTTCCATTTAAATGCAGGGTAAGCTTATTTTGCTGACGCTGAATCTTGTTTTGTCGGTGTGTTTCATCGTTTTGTCGCTAAATGTTGCCTTTATACCGTTACTGTTGTTAAAATTGTGAAACACGTACAAATATCGTGTAATTGTAAATACAAAAATAGTGTTCTTGTTCTGGTCTGTATCTTATACCATAAAGACGGACAGCAGTATATCAAACACGATTAAGTGAACTGCCGCACAGTGACGTCAATCTTTTGGAATTTGAAACACTGTTAACTTTCCATGAATTCATTTCTAGTCGTTATAACCTACGTGATGTGCTTTTTCTTTATAATTACTAACATTGCATTGTATCGGGTGCCGAAGAATTCCGTTACGTTAATTTCACACTTTACCTGTGCGTTAGTAAATACACACATATACAAGGAACAGAGTTGTGATTGCCATAGAATTTTCAATGATAAATCAAACGTTAGATACAGATATTCATGAATCCATACTCAATCATGACTACGTGCTTCAGAAATCGGTTACAGGTGTAAGATTTAGGACACCAACATAAGGATTTCTTTCTAGTTTCAATGTATCTCGAGCGCTCGACATATTATCTAGGGCGCACGACTTATTATCTCGGGCGCACGACTTATTGTCTCAAGCGCTCGACATATTATCACGGGCGCACGACATATCATCTCGGGCGCACGACTTATTGTCTCTAACGCTTGATATTGTAAGGTAATGTCATTAGTAAAACATGATTCTTGAATTAATTAAAAAAAAGCTTTGTTGAACACTTAAGGTACATTGCATATAACTAACCATTCAATGCCACAGCGTTCTGTTCCACCAACAACCACGACTGTTGATTACCACAACAAAATATGAGACCAAACATGAGACAGTATGTCGGAAACACAAGAGGAAGTGTACTCGACTCTACAGCATGTACAAAGATTACTCTTATCCAGGTCTGTGATTCGCTTTTGGCAGATGAATTCAACCAGAGGTAGATCTATATGTCTCATACTTGTACGATAGATCAAATGTTGTCACGATACAATTGTACCGAAGAGTTAGTGTCAGTCACAGCGATGGGCCATGACCCTGGTAACGTTCGCAGAGACATTAAACACCTTTCCCCAAGTCCTCATTATTTCACGGCAGCCCTTTAATCAAAATTAATGCAAGCTGCGGTTGCTATGGGAACCACCATCACCTGAGTCGAATGCCACGTGCAGCTATTTAACAAGAACCCTGTATTTGCAGGTAAATCGTGAGCAAAAGCCATTTCTGGAGAGCGTAACAACCTTTTACAATGTTTTTAGTTGTGGACTGAGAATTAACAGTAGTGGCGTGCCCATGTGTGTCATTTCGAATGCTGAAAGTATTGCCAAATGTCTATTTTTACTACTTTGAGTATAGTGGCGCGAGTTTCTTCACAACTACCACTGTCTCAAAGTAAACGGCTAGAACGTTAATATCAATATGGATCAGTTCTAGCTGTTGTTTGTTGGGTTAAACCTACTGTCGCCGGTAAAAAAGCACAGACGTTTTTATGCTGTTTATCTCATGTACTAAACAAAAACAAAGAATTTGGAAACATTATTTGCAATTCCATACACTGAATATTAGCTCTCAATTACAATAATATGTACTGTATATTTAGCAATGTATATACCATATGGTTAGTCTCTAAATAACAATCCTATAAACTGTTTAATTAGCCTCTATATTACAATTCAATTTTATACATCTTAAAAAATGTCTGGTATGTGACGATTGTACATTGTAGTGTGTGACGATTGTACATTGTGGTGTGTGACGATTGTACATTGTGGTGTGTGACGATTGTACATCGTGGTGTGTGACGATTGTACATTGTGGTGTGTGATGATTGTACATTGTGGT